GCCAGTTGGTTGTCAAAACTTTCGTTGAAGTCTTCCATTCCAATATCGGGGACACTCATGTCGACAAAAATAGTCAAATAGACATAATAAAATAGGCAAACGACAAAGGATAATAATTCTCTCAGAGATCCTACTTATATACCCCTAATTCGAATTTATCACCGGCAAATTTGGAATTATCTAGAGTAGCCACAAGTTTTGAGCAAAATTTGAATACTGCTGGAAGGTTTGCGAAATATTCTTTCGTACCGTTTGTTTTCGAATGATTTTGACTGTAATCACTCATTTTTTCGAGAAATAACAAGTTTCCGAGAAAAAAACTGTCTCGTCCCACGGGACAGACACGGAAAAATTGGCTCGTCGTCAACGTGTTAAAAATACTTGAAGAAAGACGTGGGCTCAAGGTTATTTTGGCAGTGGCAGGAAGTCTAACAGAACCGAGATCAATTGTTCAGATCCCTGGTTCACCTTTCATCGTATCTGTCATAGAGAGTTTTGTCGGATTGCTGATATTATAATGTTTTCCTAGACTGCACCAAATCTTTTAATCCCTGGGTCCAATATCCGTTGAGTTAGTGTTCTTTGGCCTGTTCTCCTTTGATTTGGTCGACAAGAAAACCAGTCCAATACAGCTTAGAAAACATCTGAGAACTTTCAAGAGAAAAAACCGTGAGGGCTCACTCTCACTCATTATGTTCCCGTCAAGCGAAACATTTTTGCATCATAGCAAAGCTTAAGTTTTAGGGATAAATCATGTGTAATGGTAGTAGGAACACAGATCACTCGAAGTTATCTCGTTCACTGATCCCATTCCTTTTTGATATACTGCACAGTTGCGCTAGGGAGAAGCAAATGGCTCAAGCGTCCTGTAAGCCCTTGAGTCTGGTGGCAGCTGAACGATACAGCCACCACCTTCGAATGTGGCCTATTTTGTGTTGAGATTATTAAAACAATAAAAACTTTTCTTGTTAATAGGAAAGGGTCATTCTACATTTTCCCCAATGTTATCCAACAATACAAACGTCTCGATTGGGAAACATCAAAAGGACCGGTAAGTGAAGCATTTAATTACTGTGACACAATCTATCTCTCCCAACTATTTTTGATGGAACGGGAATAGCCATGTTCCATCGAAGTTGAGCTAATTGTAGGAAACGAATTCTGATAAGGTGAAATTCAGGTGAAACACGATGTTCTCATGGTAGTCACGCCAAAGGTCATAAAAGAAGCTCGACAGCACTTCAACTGTTCCACCTTGGAGGGAGCAGAACTTGAAAATCAGGGTGGTGGGGGTACGGCTCACAATCATTGGGAAAAACGTGTCTTCGAGGTAGGAAGTCGGTTCTACTGGAAAACTTCCTTGAAATGCCGAATTGATGAGTGAAAGGAGGGGAAGGGACAAACTAACGAAAAGAAAATAACTTCTTTCCAACCATAGACCTACTACTGGCACGCATTCGGGAGAACGTGTTTTCGAGGTAGGGAACTGGTTTCAATCAGAACCCTCCTACAGAGAATGAGCAAGGGTTGAGAGATGTAGGAAAGGAGCAGTAAGCGAGACGTTTAGGCTCTCGTTTTTCTGATGCGGATACCTAAGTCGCCATCGTTATCGACCACTACATCGCTTTCAACCTGCTATCAGATTTTTATGACAGGGCAGCGCTTCTCAGCTTTTTGATGCAATGTTTCTGCAGAATCGATCGATGTCAAACCTGACGGCCTTGAACTAACTCGTAAAGCAATCGAATAGTCTCTAATCTTCTATTCCACCTATTCTTAGGCTCACTGAAGGCGATTTTTTGTGTGGTAGTGTTACCGAGCAGAATATAAACTGAGCAGCCTCTCACGTCCCAGGTCTACTACATCCTATATGTGTCGGGCAAACTTGCAGAGAAAAGCAGAACCCCCTCAACTTCTACAGATTGGAAAAGATTTCTCCTTGCGAGGTAAACAGTGGTCCACGCAGCCATGGCTGACCGGCTTCCTTGAGAAAACTGCGTTGACCGATCTCACCAGCCCGCAAGTACCACGTCTCATTGCCCAGTTTCCCATGGTTGTGTTCTTCCGCAGATACGGTCAGAGCCTCAATCAAGTCCAATTTTTGAGAATGAGTTGATGTCTGGTTCAAATACTCAAGTGTTCGCCCTCTCTCGTGTGACGTTGGCATTATTTGAAGATTCGGGATGGTACAAAGTGAATTACGAGTGGGTCGTTCTTTTTATTGTTGGAGCAGTTGATCTTTCATTACATAGCTGTTTTACCCTACCGTAGAAAAAACGTCATTCCAGCAAGGCCGAAGATATGGAGTGGGGAAAAAATCTCGGTTGCGCGTTCGCCACCAAGAGTTGCTTGACGTGGATGAAGATGAACCCAAGAAATCCCTACCCATTTTGCAAGAAAAGAAGGAGTGCTAGGTAATTGATGCTTCTCAATGATTGCACAACTTAGCTGATGGGTTTCCTTATATTGTATCTTGAGCTTTGTCTGAATCAATAAGAAAACAAACTGCTATTAGTCCTAGTATTTTTGAGACACAGAGGCACAAGTCTAAGTCAGTAATCGAGTGTACTAGTTAGTAATTTCGACCAAACTCGAGTGTATTAGTTAGTTTCCATGTTTATCTCTGAGCTTTTCACCTGAGTTCACCATGAATTCTTTGCTTTGGAGCATCATGTGTAGTGATGTGCAGCCCAATGCAACCCAATTGCTCAACTAATGTACTTCATCATTCGTTGGTCGTATTTAAGAGTTAGAGCACCACTGAAGACCTTATTTCGTTTGAACTCGAGTTTCTATGCTGCTGGCCTACCGGACAAGTGTGCGTTCTGAGGATAGGATCCGTCCTCTACGGCATAGTCAAATCTCATCTCTGTCATTTAAAAGCATTTAAAGCGCAAATGGGGGTGATGGAGGGAAGGGAATAACTAACGTGATGTGTACTGTTTAGTGCTGACATCAACAGACAAGTGCATACTTCACATATCTGCTTATAAGTATCGGTAATTGCTTTTAATGGTGATGCATTGCCGTTACAGTAGTAATGTATGTAACCTCTGTTGTTATATCCACTCAATCAGCAATTCCTGCCTAAACATTCGACGAATGCCTGAAGTTCTCTTGTGATGAGTGGAACCGGCTTTCTCTAGAAATAGAAACTAGAGAGCCCACTCCATTGAGTTGTAATACCTGATCAGGATTTACCTTTGCAGATGTTCTCCTGCACGATTAGAGCAGCGTGGGTGTAACCTTCTTCTGATGAACAAAACTTTTCCGCCTCCGCCAGGTTTTTTGCCGGAATACGACTACAATTTAAAAAACCTGTACCATGATGAAAAAGGACAGCCAATTTCTGGATATGGATCTTCGACTATAGCAGATTTCTGTCCCTACTATATGGTGAGCTATGTTCACAGGCCTGCTTTCGATATTGATATCATTTAGCTACTGGGAGCTAACAAACCTTAACCTGAGAAGATTTTCGAATCTCGAAAGACAAGCACAGCATTGAAACTGCTTAAATTATTCAAATATGTAAGACACAAGATATTGAGAATGTTCCGCTCTCGACTTAACTTCAAACCGCACTTTTGCTACTAGCACACGCCTTTTCGTTACACCATGTACTGTGGTCTAGCGGCTCATTACGCTTTTGCAAGAAAGGGTTGTCCCTCACTTACCCTTAGCTCAATATCTTTATGAAGACATTCGCATCTTTTGGTATGGCGATGATTAACAACTAATAAAACTAGTCAAGTAAATGGGTGTTTTGTCCTATTGCCGAAAACGTTTCAGTGCAACTCATACAACCTTTTCTCATTGTTAAAAGGATCAGCGCATTACATTCTAGAGGAGATTGGAGAGCATGGAAATATTTCATATGAGGTTTCGGTTGCTTGTCAAACACAAGTCCCTCTCCCAACAAAATGGCCACCGACAGCGTGCTAGTGAGATTTCTTTTACTACAAGCTGTCGGTGGGTATTTGTTGGAAGAAAATTTCGATCTTGCTAAGTGATCTTTTGAGCCGTAAGCGTATCAGATCGCCGCAATGGGGTCGTTGGCGAGAAAAGAGGAGAATTCGTACTTCAGAATCACGGCCATCAAACGTATGTGGACTATCCTGAAAGTTGTACAGTCCCTGGAAGTAAAAGCTTTGTCAGTGGTTTTTCTCAGGTAAGCTGCACCAGTTGTTTACCAGTGCGAGTGAATTGGTTTTCAAGGAGCGTTCTTGAGGTTATCGGGTTGAAATTTGAAAGTGATAAGGTAACACGGCAAGTGCGCATCATTGACCTATGTCAGGAAAAACAAACCAATGCTCTAAGCTAACTGGACTGTTCAACCGATTTAATTTTATTATTGATGATAACCCGAGATCCCATTATGGAGCAGCAACGCCGCAGGCAAAAGCGGTAGAAATTTATCTACTGGGATGTATTGCCTGGAAGGAGTGAAGCTAGCAGATGATTCAATAGAATCTGTTACAAAAGTGATTTCCTTACAGATTATCTCACATTCATCACGCTGCTTTTCTATGGATGCAGCTTATAAGGCAGACGAGTACGCCTCAAATTTGGAACAGCTCCATGCTGTCGGTTGTTTTGAGGTCTGTTTTGAATGAAATTATAAGCCAAAGAAAACACTCAAGACTGAAAATAAAGGTTACATCTGGTGACCTATAGTGAAAAGAAAAGCGAGTAGAGTTTTTAGAAAAAGTAGCAAGCGTAAGTTTTCGAAAGTTGCAAGCACAACTTTTTGCTAAAGAATGAAGTGTAAAAAATGATAGAGTGTTGAAAAATGTGAAAAAAAATGAAAGTGTTCGGGCGTTATCCCGAGGGATGCGCCCTCGCATTCGGCTTCGGTTCAGAGTGGCAGTGGCGTATTGAATGCGTATATGGCCTATACACTGAATTGCGGTGGCACGCCGATGTCTAAGTCAGTGCCTTTCATCCTCCCAGACGAGGCTGGTACCGATTACCCGACCTCGGATGGATGGGGAGCTTGATTGGCCGAGGCGGATATCGATCCGGGATTTGAACACGTGATCATAAGTGCATGATAGTGCTCCACTTGCCACTACATCTTTCCGCCTGTATAGCGATTTGGCAACAAAAATAATCTCTTCCGATATGCCAGCTCAGCTTTGCGTGTCCTTCTCTCTTTTTCATATCGGATAAGCCATACACACCATTTTGCTTAAAGTATCTGAGACACATGAGTGTGTAGACAATGAAATGAGGTGAGCCAAGGTTACACCTCGAACTTTTGCTCTAAATTCTTAACATTGATACATTACATCAATGCAATGATCTTATTGTACCCATAATGGATAGGTGGATACCGAACCGAATATACTTCTTCTTTCTGCAGTGATTGAAGGGATGGGGCTTTTCCGAGATGCAAGTTGTTTTTTCGCTGTGATTCTGGTAGAAATCTCGTTGAGTCAACTGGCTATTCTCTTCTCCAGGAATCGGTCGACTAAGACTAATAGGGTTCTAAACGAGATCGGACAAACTTTATCATTTTTGTTTGTGGGAATGAAAAAAATTTCCTCCGATAGTTTATATTGCCTATTGTGAAAGACAATTACAAAAGACAATTAATCTCATGAGCATACTTACAGAGTATATGTAAAAACAATCTTCTTATGATAAGAACACGATATTCGAAGTTTTATCCATGCTACCGAGAGGGACAGATAATCCACCTCAAGCAGGTAATGAAATATCTCTATCATTGTGTCTTGATCGATGATTGTCTTGGTGGCGATACCCGGCATGGTCGAGGGACATCTATTCGTGAACCCCTTCTAAACAGGGTCTAATAAAGATCACCCACCAAAAAAAGCAGTTCCGCTTCCAAAACTTCACTGTTAATTAGGTCTGTCGAAAAGATGGTCTGAAAAGCAAAAGGCGACTCGCAGATGAAGCTGATTCACTGACCAGGGAGGGGTAGTCTACTTATCTTGGAACTTTGAATTCAGACCCAGATAAATCGATAGAGTTTTG